CCTGCATCGGCCTGAGGGTGTTACAATATTTATCTTTTAAATACCCAACATGAATTAATCCTTTAAAATAAGTAAAATAATTTGAATAAAATATATCAATTTAATCTCCTAAAAAATATTTTCAAGTTGTCCATATGAGTTATTAAGCATGCTCGTTTATGAGATTTTGATACCTAAGGTAAAAAATAAAATTTGAACCTCTAATTATAAATATTGAAAAAAATTGAATTGTAAGAGTAAATAAAAATAAATTAATTTATTTTTAAAGTGTATTTTATTATGTTTAATAACCCATCTAATAAATATATCAAATGTTAAATAGAAAATATTAGACATAATACTAAAATTAATCCCTAAAATTTAACAAAATAGTCATTTTGACTCCTATTCTTTTTTGGAGCATTTTGGCCTTAATGTTTCATTTTAGGGTAAAAAAGTCTATAATGTTTGAACAAATAATCACTTTGGCCGTTATTCTTTTTTTTTTATAGAATATTTTGGCCCTAACGTTTCATTTTACGACAAAAAGTCCATAATGTTTGACCAAATAATCACTTTGGCTCTTATTCTTTTTTCTAGAGTATTTTGACCCTCAACTTTTGATTTTAGAGCAAAAATACCCCTATTTTGGAGCGTTTTCCGTTTGTTAAATTTTGGTTTCCATTCACATAGGGAATTTTTTGTCACAAAATGAAACATTGGGGTCAAAATGCTCCAAAAAAAGAATAGGAACCAATGTGATTATTTGGTCAAATGTCATGGACATTTATTGATATTATGACAAAACAATAAGAAATTTTATTAAACACTCAACTACTCACACAAAACAAACATATCTTCTTTTAAGAGGGTCATGATTTGATTTTAGCCATCCATCTTGTTGAAAAATAATAAAAGAATAATTACGTGAAAATTGAAAAAATAATTTAAAAAATGTCATGCCAGTATTACCTTAATTTTTTAACAATGGGTAATCAAAACATAATCAAAATATAATATTCGATATGATTTTAGAAAAGTAATAATTGAATAACCAAAACAGAAATGAATAGATAAGTGAATAAATAGATAATTTAATCTTTTTAATTATATGTGAAATTTTCAATTTTGGGACTACGGGCAGGTGCCTCTCTTAGGGAGGCTCAAGGCCTGTAAACGAACCGAACGCACACGAACGGAGGTATGTTCATGTTCGTTCATTTAATAAATAGACGAACATAAACGAACACGAACATAAACGAACAAAATTTTTTTTTGTTCATGTTCGTTTATTAAGGAATATAATATGTTCATGTTTGTTCATTTAATAAATAAACGAACATAAACGAACACGAACATAAACGAACACGAACATAAATGAACACGAACATAAACGAACATAAACGTTGGAGACCCTACCTTCCATTGTTCTTTCATGAAAAATAGTCGACAATGCAAATAACCAAATCTACAGTGATAAATAGCGTAAGAGTTTATTAGCAGTGATGAAATGTTTGAAGATATCAAATATTTTGATCGATCTTTTAAAGATATTAAATTATTCACACAACTTTAATTTAACACTATAACATTTATCTTAGTGGTCCATGATTACATATGAACAATCATTTTTCGCTATTACACTCTTTTCAGAAATTGCATAGAAACATTTGTTTTGTTTTCTGGCAAATTCTATATATTTTTCTCTTTATTGATGCTCATATACTTCCGATTGTTACCTTTATCTTCCCATCTATTTCTAGAAAGAAGTATGATGTTTTCTTGAGTTTTAGATGTGAAGATACCTACAATAACTTTACATATCAACTATTAAGCCAAATAAAACAGAGAAAGAGATGAAAACAGACCTGTAAAACTTCATATTGCACTATAATATAACTTGTTTTGAAGCTTTCAGCGATCGTCTCCACTCTCTAGTGAACACTAGGGTTTGAGGAAAAAAGGGGAAATGAATATAGGTGCGATGTGCCTCACATGTTAACATATTGGATTTAATCTCCAAATAAAATTGGGTTAATTATGGAGTTGGTCATCAGAATATCAGATTAATTAATATTTTTAAGATACTTACAAATTGGTCACCAAAATTGATTTAAGAAGATTGAGTTAAACATAAATGAATGAACATAAACGAACATAATCGAACGAACATAAACAAACATAACCAAACGAACATAATCGAACGTTCACGAACGTAAATGAACGAACGAGACCTATGTTCATGTTCGTTCATTTAATTAAACGAACAAAAAATATTGTTCATGTTCGTTCATTTAATAAATAAACGCACATAAACGAACTTCCCGCCGCACGGTTCACGAACGGTTCGCTGAACGTTCAGTTCATTTACAGGCCTAGGCTCAACTACGGCGCTGTTCTTAAGTCTTAACATCATAGGAACAATGTATTGATCTAGAATTCAAGTCAATATTTTTATGTTGACACTAATGCTTGTTGATCAGAGTTAGAGAGTGATTGGACTTAGGGATGAATATTCAATCAAGTCGAGTAGAAAATTTGAGTTAATCAAGTTATGAGTCTTATCTTAAGATTCAAACTTTTTTTGAATTTTTTTTAGTCAAGACGAGTCTAAGAAATTTGAGTAAGCTGAATTAAGTCGAGTTTTTGAGTTTCTATTCAAATTTAATTGTAAATATTCATGATATTATTATGTGGATTGATCTAATTTAACGACTTTCTATAATCATATAAAATATAAATATATATTTCTTCACATTGTAATGTTAATTAATAAATTAAATGCCATCTAAAAGTATAAAATATATTTATAATTTTATTTTATTAAAAGAAAGGCATTTTAGGGGAAAAGTATTGTATAGAGAAGTTAAGGAATTGATAACATTACAATTAAAAATCAAATTGAACAAAATATAAAGTTGAAGGACTAAAATTAAAAAATCAAATTGAACAAAATATAAAGTTGAAGGAATTTATAAATTTTGTTAGTTCTGGTGTGTTGCTTTCTTTGGCTTTTGTTGCTGGGCTGACGCTGCTAGTCGCCTGTTCTATTGTAGGTTTGTGGAAGTATTTCTGGTTGTACTGTTTCCTGGGAGTCTGAGTCGTGGTTCTGCTGTTTTTTTTTTTGGCTTTCTTGATGCAAGGACGGGTTCTGCTTGTGTGTGCTTTGATTCTTCAAATTGGATTCTCTCTCTTGCCTAGGTCGATCTAGGCCTGCTATTGTTTTGATCGACCGTTTTATGCATCTTTGGCATCCGTAAGCTGCTTTGGAATTATGCTTTTTTGCTCTGTAGTAAGCTGTCTGCAGTTGGAGCTTTTCAAGGGTAATTCCAATGTGTTTTCCCTCCAATCTCAAGTGTGCTTTGTGCTTTGTGCTTCTGCCGTTTGTAGGAGTCCTTCATTGGGAGAGCAATGCTGCGTATTATGTTTCTGGTTGGTTTTGACTCTCGTGTAAGGCTTGTTTTTCTATTCAAGCTCTTTGTTTTGTTTAGTCTGCAATTACAGTTTGGTTTTGTGTGCTTGTAAGGTACTTGATTTGTTTTTCGGACAAAAGGTGAACTGGTTGTTTTATTGACGGATAATATATTCTTGGGCACTCTTTTTTTCTCCGTTAACGGCGATTACGCTTCGGTTTAATCTTAGTAAGAAGGGGTTTTTAATGAGGTTTACTTTTCCTTTAAAAAAATAAAAATTATTATATGTTTAAAAATGTTTAAAATTATAATTTTAAAAATATTATAATAATAAACATATCAATTAAATTAAAATTCAATTCATTACACATCAATGATTAGAAAAAAAAAATACAAACTCAACCAAAAAAAATGATTAGAAAAAATACAGCCGTGTGAAAAATATCAGCATAAATAATAATCCGATAATTCCCAACGTTAAACTTGAAGAATTTCAAAGCTCATGACATAAAGTGGGGAAAAAAAACTGTAAAACAAACAAATTTATGTTCATCAATAATATAATGTGTAGTAAAAAGGGCCTGGGCTGCCTGCTTTTCTTTTCAGTTTACATGGAGTCGGATATATCAGATTCAGAGATAATAATGTTAAATTTCAGTGACGTTTTTCCTTATTATTATCACACAAAAACATATATTTTCTATATAATTACAAAAATGAAAATATCTTTAGAATATTTGTACTTTATATTAACATTATATATTTTTTCTATGATCATCTATATTCAATTAATATAAATTAATATATTTCATTTATGTTATTAATATTTTATTTTCCCTCCAATTATGTGTGATTTTGAATGAATTGTATATCCTTTTGTAAGGTACCTCATTTAAGGTTTTATTATAATGAAATTAACTTTTTTGTTGTGCGATTTTTTTTAATGTTTTACTACCCGGTCATTGAATGTTATTCTCCAACCGGGCCATTAGTTGAGTCATTATACTAAAATCATAAGCCCACATTTCCATCACACCCATCACTAGCTAGTGATTTGGATGGATGAAGCTGCACAAAATTCACTATAAAAAGGATTATTAAAGGTTTAAATTTATTTTCAATCAAAGAGGTAGTTTAAGGTTTGAACTTCAAAATTATTATCAACCAAGATGGAAAACAGCACAACTTTTGCACACACATATATATATATTGAATAGTATGTGGTGATTATAAGATAATACTTGTTTATATTTTTACTAATCATTGATAACATACACACACCTTGCAGATGCAGTTATTAAACTTAGAATTTCTAAGAATAACAACACTCTATTTAATCAGTGAAGTTCCTAAATAGGTTGAATATCTCTATGTATATTTTAGCAACGTGGATTGTTAAGTTTATCTATTAATAATTATATGTCCACATTGGCCAGCTCATGATAGGTCCAATATTAGATACCCCAAACTGCGTAGATTGACTATTAGTGCAGTGCATAAGACAAACAAATTTTCATTTTCCCAACTAAATAATTCTATATTATTAAAATATTTTCAGAATAAATATAAAATAATTATATTTTATTAAAGTGAGATCATCTAATTTACGAATAATGTATAAAATCATATGAACATAAGGTACTAGAATAAACTGTCAATGTGAGAGTTTGGGCGATGCGAGTCATGGAGATCCGGAGACGGCGAATGAGCGTGCCTCCCTTCGTAGGTTGTAATAACCATCCTTGGATCCTCTGCCAATCTCTCCACTTTTTTCTTTACCCTACAATTATCTTGCGTACAACGATAGTAGCTCCTGCATTCAGTTCAATACATTTTTTTCATTATGTAGATGTATACAATTTATAGTAGGTCAATAATTAACATTTTGAAGGAAGAAATTATACTTCTTTTACTTAGAGTGAACACTGAGAATTTTTGTTGTAAGCATGTGGGGGCTTGAATGTGAATTAAAAGTGAAAAAGGGGGATGTATTGAGATAATCTGAAAGCTTTGCATGAAGGTGGATAGGGTCACTGGCACTGTGTGTTTCATAATGATGAAGTTAATCAAACTATGATAAGTCATTAGCTATGATTATTACCAATTTGAATTAGTAGTCTTCCTCTTTAACATAAGTCAGGAGTTAGGGACCTACTTGCTCCATCCTCATTATTTTGTTTGCAAAATAAATTACTCATATATACTATTATACTATTAACTGTAACTAAGGAACTTCGGTTTTAATCCAAAGCACAATGATTATATAATTGATTTTAATTAATTAATTAGATTTCTTTTTCAAAGCAAATTTAACTAGTATATGTTGCTTTTCATCCTTGATTATTTGGTTCACTCTTTTCCATAATAAAAAAGAAACACATGCTAATCGGTACCAAATTTCTAGCTAAATGGGGTCTTCAAACTCACACTTTCACAAAAGAAAATGATGCTCAAAACCCTAAAATTATACATATATGGGGGCATAATTATGTTGTCCGTATTCAGAGATAAAATCATTGCCTTGGATTTTCTACTTTGTGAGCAAAATCTAGCTAGGTGATTTTCTACATAGTGACAAATCAAAAAGTGAAATCCATAGCTACCAAACGCTTAGGATTCATATTACATATATGTGTTAGGAATTCGTGAACGAAGATACTTAAATATATAATATTTGAGTTCATATTGTAAATATAGTTTTATAAGATTTTGAGAGAGTGATTTGAAATATTGTAATTTTTTGTATAGATATTATAGTTTGAGATACATGAAATGTTACATATTTTGACTCTTCATGATCTCTACGCTTAGTGTATTTTTTTTCTTCTTCTTATCCATAGAAATAAAAAAGTCAAACCATATTAAATTTTTTCTCTTGCACACATGTCTTATTTTATATTAATTTAATTTTATTATTTCTTCAACTCATAAATTCCTAACTATATAAAAGATGGATACTTTCAGTGCATTTATATCATCCACTTATACATTTATACAGAAGCTTAGCTAGGCAGCTTCTTAGCATGGTATGATCACTCCAAGAACTATATCGTCCTAATGTTAATTGTTCAACGATGAAGCAATAGACTCACTATTTAGTGTTTACTATCACTATTGTAGAATACATGCTAGATTGAGGGATGTTAGGAGGTACAGTCGAATTTTAAAAAAATAATAAATTTTTATATAATTTAAGTATATTTTTATAATTTTTTATTGATAATTTAATTTCGCATCCCTTAAATTTTATAATTTTATTCTTCAATTTATAAATTTGTACATCTAATATAAAATTTTATGTCCGTCCCTAGTAATCTTCTTGATTATAAATTTTTCATAAATATTATGTTCAACTTTTGTCATCCTTATGATGGCTGCTTAATTTTCAAATGATTCATGGCATGAACCAGTGAGCCTCTATTTAATGAAATGGGATATTTCTATATAATTTCATTATGGCATTGCCCATTTCCTACGTATCCCTAACTTTTAACATTGTTAGATCTTCTAGGCATTATGTTAATTTATCAATTGGTCTATAGTTTCCCGCTTTTTATTGTGATCTCGTATCTTTTGAAGCTAATAATTAGTTCTTCCATGATTTAAAATTTATGATCTATTGTGAATTCATGATTAAAATCCCCATCAATTTCAGATATCATGCAATATGAGGAATGCTGTAAAGCCTAGCAGTCATGATAACCAAAAGACAGGGAAACATAGCATGTGTATTGGGTACTAGCAAGGCCAAATGTTAAAAGGAAAAAAGAGATGTATATTTGAGTGTGCACCTGGGATGCTGGGTGTTCTTTACCACTTTCTGGCCGTACTTTCTCCACTTGTATCCATCATCGAGCACATCCACATCGCTCATGGTCTTGAAGCAAAACCTAGGCTCCCTTACCTTTCTTCTTCCTTTTATCCTCTTCATTTTCATTACGCCTAGATGATCTTCTACATCGATTTTCTTGGCTCCCAAGCACTCGTTCCCCCATGCCCTACAGCAAAGAAGAAGAAGAAGAGATATCTATGATGAAAACCAATCTTGTCGTTTTCATTGAGAGTTGATAAATATTTTTCCTTTTCATTTACATGCAAAGAAAAAAAAAGCAAGGAAAACTAAAAAAGAGAGGGAATATTAATCTTAGCATGAACAAATATTTCTGTAAAAAGCCATATATTCACCAGAAATTTGCAGTAGATCTGTGCAAGGAAAGGAGTTGGGGTCCTCCAGAATCAGAAGCAGGGTCTTGTACTCTATGCTTTGGATAGAATAGGGTTTGTGTTAGATCAGGCAGTGCAATATCGAAGGGTTTGAGAGGCTGATGTGAGGCAAATGGAGGGGGATATGGTGAAGACAGGTTTTGAGGAAAAGTAAAGAAATCCACTTGAGAAACAGCACAAGGCATCTCTTTTTCATCGAAGAAGCACTGGTTTAGCATGGCTTGCTGGGAGCTCGATGACATTTTCTACTCTATCTCTCTGCAGGAGGCTTGTGGAGGAGGAGAATCATACAGTGTTTATTTTAGGTTTTGCTTTCCTTTATAGACTGATGAGACTAAAATAACTTGAAACTTCTAGGAGAGATACATAAAGTGAATTTAGATGAACTATGATTTTTTATTCATTACTTTTATTGATAATTTATTATTATGAAATGCTTTAATGTGACCAAACCACTCTCTTTTTTCCCTCAATATTTACGATGAATCAGCTGCTGGTTTTGAGAGTAAGTAGTGGAAGACATGTTACTCTTTTGACCTCATGAAATTACATTACATGTCCATTTGTTTAGTGGAATTTTCCTGTTTTAAGGAGCTTAAAAAAAAACATAACTTGCTTTGGAAATTCCATGCTCTCCATTTTCAACAAACTTCACTACGCCTAATCTCTAAACTAACATATACATTTGTACATAACATACAAGAAGTTTGCACCATTCCTAGGAAGTGCGTAGTAAAAGAATTATTGTTATTCTTTGAGGTCCCGAATTCGAGTATCAAGAATGTCAGAGGTACGAGTGTTCAATGTCAAATAATTGAGATTTATCTTTGAACATATATTACCTTGTATTTATCTCAGATGATCAAATATATATATACAAGAAGTTTATATTCGAAATATTTTTTTATATAGCTGTTTTGAAATGGCATGATTTAATGGTTCAATTTTAAATTTTATTATACATATTATTTGTAAAAAAAAAAAAAGTAGCCGAGAAAAGTCTTAAACAATAATTGAAAAGAAAGAAAGTATATTATCATTTATCAGAATCATATTTCTAGGGTAAACTATTCAATTGGTCATTCAGTTCTAAACTATTTTATTTTGGTCACTCAAATTTAGAAAATACAAAATAACTATTAAAATTATATTTTATTTTCATTTTTATCATTTATAATAAATTTGGTTGGTGACATGTGTCAATGTATTATGATGACATGAGTCACCATGTAATTGGCTTGGTAGTTAGATGAAAATAAATAATACTATCAACATTTAAACAAATAACACAAATGGGTGTAGTTTTTACTTGTTAGACGTAGGAAGGATTTTCAATTGGATTTAGGATTGAATCCCATGTTCGAAGCTTTTGTTGTTTTTTTCAACCAACTATATCACTAGTGAAATTGATCATGAGTGACCAAAACGAAAATAGAACATAATTTTAACGTTCATTTTGTAAAGGTTTTAATTTAGGTGGTCTAAATAATTTTTTTAATAATGGGCGATTAAATATACCCTATTTTCTATGGTTTGTATAATAATGAATTGATTTAATTTTGTAGTTGTTTTTAGCAAGAAATTAGGAAAATATGAGGGAGGGGCAATGATGATCCTCTGCTATCGGATATCATGAAAGAGGCCCTAGTTGACTTATGCCCCCCAAAAAAGAAAAGAAAAAAGCTCTTAGCCTTTTGGTATTTCACTTTTTGTATATACTTCTCCGAAACCCACCATTTCTGCTCAAATTCCAAGCCCAACCCCATTATATAGTTATCATCATCTCTTCAATATTCAACATAATAATTACACTTTTCTAAATAATTACTTCTTCTTTTTCATTCCTAGATTAAATATTCCATGTGTGGACCATATACCCCCATTGCTTTCATCATTTTGATTAATTATCTCTAATATATTATATTCATTTGGTACTTTTTATGGTAATTATATTTTTGATAAAAATCAGAGACTTTTATATTTTGGGGGAAATAATGAGTGTAAAAATAGGCGGGCGTATGATGGTTAAGTATCATTAGACAATGTTACACAATATAAGGTTGTAGTTTATGATCAATTGAAGTTAATTTTTTTGTGCAAAAGGAGCCTATAATGATATATACATAATTATATCATGCAGCAAAAGACAACAATAATTGGATATATGCTGTTTCATTTTAATTTTAATTGATTTTTCTAAATATTTCCTTCTCACAGGAAAAACATCTTAAAGCTCTCTGATGGATAGATACTTGTTTGTCTATATTTTGTCAGAAAAATTGATGTAAGTTTAAAGATATTTAATTGAGAACTACCGATCACGATTATTTTGAATTATTATTATCTCATTTTCATTCATTTAATTTCCAAATAAAACGAAGAGTTAACATACTTTGTTTTATATTTCAATATTGTTTTGAACTTGAAGGTGGCGTAACTAACGTAGCCGTGATGTCAAAACGATACATGTAATGGGATAAATATGAACCATAATTTGCACTTTGTAGTGATCCTTTTTGGGTTATTTTCAAGAGAGATTTTGTCAGTTTAAGGTATGGGGCCTAACTGGGGATGATAAGGGAGGTTGACACTGGCAATCGCCAAACTCCATTTTATAAATTACAACTTACAACCCATCATTATATCCTTATATAACAAGTATTCAAATAAGATTTTTTTTTAAAAAAAAAGGAAATGATAAGTGAAAGTTGATTGACTTTAATTCGATTGATATTACAATTGGTATAATACATATGAATATGTGAAATCAAACGTATTTAAACAAGTTTGGTAGGAGGGCGAGGCCATGTCGTTGGGTAAAGCAAACGTAAATGAATCGGGTTGAAAAAGATAAGCTGTTTAGGAGAGTGGTTCGGCACATGCATTACTGTATTTTGTGATCATTAAAATCCTTCAATTTCTGTCCTTCATATCTTTCTATTTTTTTTGTCTGTGCTCCTATCTTTATTTTGCTGGTTTTCATCATCATTGGAATTAGTAATTTCAGGAACAACTATCTCAAAGAGTCATCAAACCAAAGGCTTTTAGAGTTTCAACCTACTCCGTTGCTTTATAAAATAAAGCAGGAAAATTGAGGGAAAGAAAAGTGTTCAATTTGGCACAAGAGTGTAGAACTGCAGGCCCAGAGGTCTAAAGAGTAGACATTGGAGAACACAATCCCACATGGCTACCAAACACAAAAGACCATCCCAACCTACTCGATAAATAAAAGAGCTAATTTCAATTGTAAACTCACGGAGCCGAGTGGTGAGCACAAAACGAACTATTCTTTCGCCTTTTACTAAAGAATACCGTGTGTTCTCCACTTGAAACGGCATACGCCTATTTTTGGAAGGGTATTCCTCGTTGAATGCCCCCATCCCAATCTAAGTCTTCAAGAATTCAATCGATTGGTTGTTATTATCTGGTTTAGATTGTTAGTCGTCCTCTTTACTCTCCTTGTAATTGGTACTTGTGAAAATAGTTGAGATTTTTATTTAATTTTGCTGAGCTTAGATCTTATGCTGTGTTGTTTTACGTAGAAGAGGAGACTAAAATCATAGTCTTAGCCATTCCATACTATTGTACCAGTGCATCTTACCATACCTCACTGAGGACAAACTTTACATGATCGCTTAACATGTTTTGAGAATCCACATTTAGAAAAACAATAAGATCTCTGTTTTCCTCTTCAGTGCTCTGCCTAGGTGCTAGTAGCACTCCATAGAAATTTTAAATTCTCTTAAGACTTTAAGTTTTTTCTTTGTATTTTTTTATTAATTATCTAATTTTGTAACTCCTAAAATTTTTAATATAATTTCTTAAATTCGTATTCCCTAACGTAAATTGGGGACATTCAGTGCTTACTTGATAGCCCCGTGCATGAAGTTTGCTTCTAGTAGCCAACCAATTAAAGCGTTTGGGAACATGCAAAAGGTTCTCCAAACCCACCTCTCTGCAGTTGATGAGGTCTTAGGATTTTCCAATCCTCTGCCAGCTTTAAACACAAACCCACTCCAATTCCAAGCAAAAACAAAACGCTGCTTTCACTTTGGTTTCCTCTTCAACGCTGCATGGAGGACATTCAGTACTTGAACATTATGCAAATTCACTTGTTTATCACTTCTTGCTCATAATTTACTTCTCAGTGTCAATATCAATGCCGTTGACAGAATAAGTAATGCGTAGACAACAACACTGAGGTCATCGAAGCTGTGTTCCTGCTACTACAGCAGTACAAAAAGCGATAACTCTGTTCGTTACTTCATTCTAAATTCTAATGATTTGGTAGCATTTGATTAGAAAACTGATTATCAACGCTTAAAGTCAAAAGGAAAAACCTTTTGGTGCTTCAGCAACTCATTGAAACCCAAAACTATATTTGTCCCATTCGGAGTTTGAGCTCCAAATAGAAACATTATATCAGAGGGGTGCAGAGGTTTTGAAGTTACAACTGAAAGCTTCATAGAATAAAGCAGGAGAAATGAGAGAAAACGTGATAGAAAAAGTATGTAATTCGGCTGAAGAGTGGAGAGATTGCAGGCCCAAAGGTCTAAAGAGTAGAAATTGGAGAACAACACAATCCCACATGGGTACCAAATGTAATATACCATCCCAACCGACTTTATAAATAAAAGAGCTAATTTTACTTTTAGAGTCACGGAGCCGTGTGTTGAGCACAAAGCAAACTATTCTTTTGCATTTTGCTAAAGAATACTGTTTGCTCTCCACTCAAAGTTGGCCCCATCCTAATCCAAGTTACAATGATCTTGTATAATATTTTACTTTTTTTTTATATTTGGACTTCGTAGTTGTATTTTGATATAACAACTCTCTGATAAAGAGTTGGGAATTATTTAGGATTGGCGGCGATTGGAGCTTCTCCCGCGGCGGTGTTGTAAGCTGTGGGAAAATTGTGAACTTATGAAAGTCGGGCATATGGAGCAGTGGAGGTTTGGAAGGTTGCACTAAGAAAAAGATGCATATGAGTTATAAACTTGGGAACAAATATACTTCTATATTTTCATAACTATCATTTCATAAGAGTACACTTTGATTGAACAAATTCCATGGGTCCCGTCCAATAGAATTGAGGATAATTTTAATAGGAATAAATTTTGAGACACCAATGCAATCCCATCAACTTTAAGAATGCAAACCCCCAAGATAATTTAATTAATGAATAAAAAGAAGGAAACAACTGTAAAAACAAAGAACAATGTGCCATCCCCCTCCCTATATCAACCAACCCAACCTATAATTTGCTCTAACGTGATCTGAACCATTCACCACACAAAAACACAAATGCCATGTGAAACAAGTAGTGCTCCTAGTCATCACAATTCAGCACGCAAAATTCTAATACCGGGCCATCTTTCGAAACAAATGGATTTATTCGGACTCATAAGTCCGAACAATAGTCGAAACAAAATGCCCTTGAGGAAGGGGTAGAGGTGGATGATAACCCAAAAGGCGAAGAATAGTCGTCCAAACAATGAGCCCCATGAATCATACTGGTTATTGATGGCATCGGAGATCCCAACTACGATGTCAACTATGTTTGTAATCAGTAAGGCGGTAGGAGGGATGATAAGGAGGTCCTCTTGAAGAGATAAAGCTCGGAAAATGCACTGTCGTCTGCTGCTTTATGTTGGGAAATAAACCGAGTAATTTTTCTATAATCAGATTAGTGGGAATGCGAAATAAAAGTGCAAAAATAATACCCGAAATTGATAACGAAGTTCAATTAAATTAGCCTACGTCTCCGAACTGCTGCAAATCTTTTACTAAAGAGAGAAAATTTACAGGTGTTTACAAAATACTCACAACTCATAAGAAAGCTCTCTAAACTCTTTAGTATTGGGAGAAAGAAATGATTTGTGATGATTTTTAAGCTAAATGGGTAAGAGTATTTATAGTTGAAACTTAAGGACTGATCTTTGAAAATACCCTAAAGTGAATGAACTAAAATGCAATTCTCTCATGCACAAAATTCAACCAAAATGGCTGCCTAATTTGGTTTTGCCAGTCGCCCATGTGTTGCCTAATTGTTCAACAATTTTCAGCTTCTATTTTTGACTTCCAAAGCCCTCCAATTTTTGAATTCCAACAATCTCCCACTTGAAAACTGATTTTAATTTGTCTTTACACATCGATCAATGCAACAACATTTCTGGTCTTGTTATTCTAGCATGCCAACTGAAGCTGAACACAACTTCAGTTTGTCCGTAGTCACCGTCTTTGTTAACATGTCTGCTAGATTTTGAGCTCCACTAATCTATTCAAGTTTCAAAATCCCATCTTCCAGAAGAGACCGAATAAAATGATATCTCAATTGAATGTGCTTTGTCCTGGAATGAAAAGACGGATTCTTTGCTAGATGGATAACACTTTGACTGTCGCAATACAAGACATTGTTTTCTTGTTTCTTGCCTAACTCTTCCAAGAAACTTTGGAGCCAAACCATCTCCTTGCTGGCTTCCGTAACAACGACATATTCTGCTTCAGTTGTGGAGAGAGCAACTATCTTCTATAGTTGAGAAACCCAACTCACTGCAGTACCTCCTAAAGTATAGACATACCCTGTAGTGCTCATTCTGATGTCAACATTTCCAGCTAAATCAGCATCTACATAGAATGTCAGTATCATATCTCCACCTTTGAAACAAAGTGCTTTGTTTGTGGTACCCTGCAGATATCTGAGGATCCATTTGACTGCTTCCCAGTGTACTTTGCCCGGATTATTCATGTACCTACTAACCAACTCCCACTACATGAGCAATTTTTGGTCTAATACAAACCATGACATACATCAGACTTTCAATTGCTGAGGCATATGGTACCTTCACCATGTGTGCACGTTCTTCGTTCTTCTTTGGTGACTGTTCTTTGGAGAGTCTAAAATGAACACCTAAAGGTGTACTTACTGGTTTAGCATCTTGCATGTTGAACCTAGAGAGTACTTTGTTGATGTACTCAGTCTGTGATAACATCAAAGTCCCCGACTTTGTGTCTCTCTTGATCCTCATCCTAAGAATCTGCTTTGCAGCGCCCAGATCTTTCATTGCAAATTGCTTCGACAATTTTTTCTTCAAGTTTATAATCTCTTGCATGTCTGAGCCTGCAACGAGCATGTCATCAACGTACAACAATAAAATAATGAAACTGTTGTCGAACTTCTTGATGTAGCAACAATGATCTGCTTAGCATATGGTAAAAGCACTGCAACTTATGAAACTATCGAACTTCTTGTACTACTGTCTAGGAGCTCTCCCAATACTAAAGAGTTTAAAAGAGTTTTCTTGTAAGTTGTGAGTGTTTTGTAAACACCTGTAACTTTTCTCTCTTTAGTAAATAATCTGCAGCAGTCCGAAGACGTAGGCAAAATTGGCTGAACTCCGTTATCAATTTCGGGTATTATTTTTCCGCTTTTATTTCGCATTCTCACTAATCTGGTTATAGGGAAATTACTCGTTTTATTTCCCAACACTTTAGAGGTCACAATGAAACTTGTACCGGTACTAGCTAGAACCTTTAGTAAACCCTGAAAGAGTGTAAAGAGGTGTGAAGAAACACCTCCAATCACCCAGAATTGCTCATTCCTCCACTAGTCATCAATTCCGATTTTCGACGCCACCCTACTGCATGCAGAAACTGTGCAACAGAGGGTTAGCAGCAAGAGGTTTTGAAGCTAAATTAAAATCATCTTTTCAGATTCTTATTTTATATCTTAGCGTCACTAGTTTGCTGGAGAAACTGAGTCTCGACTTGTCTGATTTGCCCATATTTGACAACTCCAAGCCCATATCGGGAAGACAACAAAGCGGGGAGTCGAGCAATGGTTATAAAGAAAGAGTATGGCCGACCTTTGCAACTTACTTACCTGGACGAGGTCGATGGGTGATCAGTAAGGTCCATGGCCTAGGTTGGTGGCATTCATTGCACTCTGAAGGTGCACCCGCCTAAGGTCTCCCCGTGTGGAGAGCCTATGTCATTATTTGTGGCAGTGGGGGCCTGCGTTCGCGCGGCCCCTTCCCAATTCCTAGTTAATGTTTCGTTCATTTAATCATCTTTCCTATTCTTTAGGTCGTTGTTGTACTTCCACTTAGCTAAATATTGTTCAAAAGGAACCTCCTTCACCAAGTATGTCGGAGAGTAAAATTGCTAAAGCTATCCCACAATAACCATTTCAATTGGATGGGGGTAACATAATTATTAGAGGGAAGTATATATAATAAAACAAAGGTGAAAACCTGAACTGTGAAAATAATTTCAAGTCGTGTTGATTGGTGCTTACCGACTAATTGACCTTGTAGTTAACATTGTTTGTTAATTCTGATAAACCTACTACCAAGTTAGTATTTTGTTTCAATCAAGCTACCATAGGTATTGCATCAACTCTAGTTTTCCATAATATATTAATATTACCTCAACAAGATGTAATTTGATTTCCATTTGTAGGGACAACTCCAGTTTTAAATTAAACAAATGATTACCGCTCATTCTCGCTCTAGCTTCCTGAGAATTTCACTCATTTACAGCTTCTTAGCTCTCTTCTCCAATTTCAAAAGTATAATCTCTATACTCTCAACTTTCTATTGGAAATCGATTAATAAAATATATTAATGCAGTCAAAATTTTAAGAGTTGCGATATCTAGTACTATGAGAGCAGGATTTATGCTTATTTAATTTTGGAGATGGTAGCAAAAACTTAATTTTAGCTTGGTGTTTTCTTCTCCTGGTACAAATTAAAAGGAGGGAACGATTCAGATGAAATTAACACAAGCTAGCCAAGTTCCTTTGTCCCACATCGCACTGGGAAAGAAGTTAACAGCTTTTCCTCATGTTTATAAAGAAACAAGTAGCTGTCTTTCAAACTAACGGAGCTGTGCGGTTAGCACAGAGCAAATTATTCTTTCGCCTTTTACTTAAGAATACCGTGTGCTCTCCACTTCAATCGGCATATGCCTATTTTTGGAAGGGTATTCCTCGTTGAATGCCCCCATGTCAATATAAGTTTTAAAATATCAAGCGGTAAGTGTATTTTCCAGTTTATGATTGTAGTCGTCCCTTTTGTGGTGGGTGCTAGCGAAAAGATTTTGGTTTTAATTTAATTTTGGTTGCGCTTGGATCCAATGCTTTGTTAGTGAAGGTTGTCGAGGAAACCAGAATAAATTTGAGGACGAACATTACATGTTTGGCTGAACATGTTTTGAGAATCCACAATCAGAAAAAAAACAAGTGGATCTCTTGTTTCCTCTTCAATGTTGTATAGGGACATTCAGTGCTTAACTTGAACATTATGCAAGTTTACAATGTTTATCAGGTCTTGCTCACTATTTACTTGTCAGTGTAAAAATCAATGACATTGACAGAATAAGTAATACTTATCTGATATTCATAGCCAACAACAATGAGTTCATCGAACCTGTGTTTCTGCTGCTACAGCACTACAAAAAAGCGATAACTTTGTTTGTTGCTTCATTCTAGATTCCATTGATTTGGTAGTATTGTGGTAAATAATTAGTAACCATAGATAGTATCACATTCTCATTGCCATAAGAATTGAGCACCAATGTTCTAACATTAGTTTATCCTAAACCAAAGCCCAGCTCTGGTCTTTTACATCAACCACAGAATGTAAACTCGAACCTTGTGGAATTCCTAATGGTGGATCTTGGCATGAACAGTTATCAACTGTATATAATTCCCATTCCTTGATTCCACATTTACCCAAAGCTGTTGATAATCTGCTGGCCTGTGTCTGTTTAGGGTATGCCCCATCCGGACTAACCAGCACTGCACCAGTATACGACTGTCCAGCCACTCGTGCTGCCCCATGGTAATGGAACAAACCCCAACTGAAATCTTCACATACGTCAACGATTGTCCAAAACTCATTTGAAACAACCCCATTATCCAGGACGCTGAAGTAAAACGTCCCAGGAACGTTTGCTCTCTTCACTCGATATTTACGCCGCCTCCAGATCATTTCTCCTTCTAAAGTTTTAACCTGGAAAACTGGCTCATACCAAAATGATCCCTTTGCCTTTCCCCTGTAAAATAACTGGTACTGACATGGAAATTGATCGTAAGCTGGGTTCTGCCCTGCTACAACTCGCCAACTCCAATCTAAACTCCCCAACCAACCAACAAACATATCTTCAGCAGTTTCATGGCACAAGTCTTTCCCTCGGAACTTAAGCATAGGCTGCACATACGGCTTTTCGGGGATCTTTGAATCTAAATCAAGACAATTGTTTTTCTGAAGAACACATAGAGAAAATGCTTCTAGTTTTGGACTTTCATATGAAGCAATACACCGATAATTGCACACTTGATCAACAGGGCTGCACTTGTTCAAGCATTGAAGAGCTTTCCTGCAATTAGGATCCATAAGGCAATCCAATATTTGAGGTCCACAGTTCTTCACCATGCAATTTAGGGTAGAGAAGCCCTTTGATCTCAAGTTTTTCAAGACAGGGACTGGTCGAATATAAGCATTGATGATAACCAACAAACAGAACCTTATATCATCAGAATTATGCCGGTCCCATGCCTCCGATACAGTTTGCACGACTTCCTTTGTTTTCTTGAGCTGAGAAATTCCCACTGTTTTGTCGAATACACTACTTTTCGTTTCACTGTGGACATAGGAGCCTCCTAATTTGTTAACCAAACCCGGATCGGATTCAAAGCAGATTATGTTAGGGATGCTTTCGCTATATGACCGTATCCAGTTAACCGAGTCTTGATTCGTAACAGCTACAACCAACAAAATATCAGCACAAGCCAATTCCTTTTGCAGATCCATCGCTGTTTGACCATCATTAGATTGATGGAAATTGTCAGTGAAAACAACCATTTCATATCCTTCATCCACCCATTTCATTCTTTTTGCCTGATCAATATCACATACACAATCAAGAAACAATATACAAGTCCGAAAACAGTAATATCAAAATTCCACATTAGCTCAACAGAAAAAGCTCATACGCGATCTATTCCGCTATCAATATCCAGTTTAAATTGTTTACCTGTTGTTCATACACAATTTAATAACCTACGAAAGCTGGAATTAAGTTTAAAATGAAAAATGAAAACCAAAATTGTAAGGCTTACAGTGTGCAGCATAACCTCCTCCCAGGTGGCGCATTTGAGTGGGCTGACGCTTTCATCTCCAACCACTGCCACTATCCTCACCGGGGGGTCCTTTTTCTGTGTCACCACAGTTTTTTCCTTCTCCGACTTCAAAACCGCAGTGACAGTAGGCCTAGAGCTGAAAGTGGGATAAAATCGAAAACGAGAGGGTCTTAGTTGGTGGTTTGTTGGGGCTAAAGCGGTTCGAATGGAGGCGAACCGGCGTTTGAGCGGGGCTGCGGATTTGGGTTGGGGCGGACGTGGAGGTTCCAGAACCAAGCTCATGGCTTTTCCTTCTCAGCCGTGGCGGTTGTTCGTAAGACGAGTGTAGAAGCCGCCTTTTCCCAAGTTGCTGAAGTCGGCGTTTCAGCACGTGCCACGTTTCTTTTGAAACTTATCTAAAATACACACCAGCTCTCGTTAAATACATTCAGCTATCTAATATATCGTTACTACTATAATATTCTAGCACATTATCAGATCTTTTTAAAAGCAAATAATTATTATAAAATATCAACAAAATAATCAATTTATTTGTTTATAATAAAAATAGTTATCTATCATAATTAAATCAATTAAAAAATATGTTTCCCCTTGCATTGGTAATCTTTGATTTTTTTTTATTTTTACAAATCTATTAAGTGACATGATTAATAAAAGAAAATATTAATCTTTTTACAAAGATTTACGTTTAAACAATAATACACATAGATTATGTAAAAATATTCTACAAATCTTTTAATTATTTTAGACTGCTAAAAACACTCTTATTTTTATAAAAGTTTTTGGATCTATAATTTCTTTTAAATATTTCTTACATCATAATTAAAATCATCTCACACATTTTTCAAAGATCAGAATTAAAAAAATATCATTTAAATTTTTTTAGTCATCATTCACAAGCAACTTCTAATGAAATTATATTATTATAAAATTAAAACTTATATTACTAGTTATATATTAATTTTTTTTAAAAATGAATGAAATTATAAAAATAAAAACCCTAAAAATTTATATTTTTCCTTCAGTTTTTATAATTTTAATATTTGTATGGATTTTTTTTAATTTCTTAAAGATAAGGTATAATTATAATTTTGGAAAATATATAAATTTAAAATATAAATTCTAAAATTTTGAGATTTTTAAAGATGTTTTAATTTTTTTAGTGTTTTAAACTTTCTATATTTTTATAAAAGTATTTTTATTATATGTGGATTGTTTTGACTTGATAACATAAATTTTTAAAGGAAACAAATGAAAATGAGATAAAATAATAGAATGTAATATAAATCGAGAAAACATAGTACAAGAATGAAGTTAAGAATTTGAATAAAGTTAAAGAGAAAAACAGATATTAAGTCTTTTTTTTGGATAATAATGATGTTGGCTTATGGAAATTTTCCTTTTATCTAGGGTGTTTAGAAAATTATTTTTCTAAATAGTATGATTGTTACAATATACATCAAAAGATGTTAGGATAATATGACGTTTTTAGAAAGATGCCTGAATGATATGACGTCTTTAGTAAGATTATAATATTATACATTTTCAAATATATATATAGTTAGGTGGAAGACACTATATCATTTAGGTATTTTCTCAAAATTATCATGTCATTCAGGCGTCCTTCAATATATACTATAATAATTATATTATCTATGAAAAATAATTCTCTCACCCTCTATATGCCAATTATTTTTCATAGGCATATTATCTGACCAAATTTGCCGACTCAGTCCAGTATGTAGAAAGAAAACATTAGAAATAGAGGTGTTAATGGGTTGGACTGGGCTCCTAGACAAGATGTTTTATTTTCAATGTGGTCTTCTATAATTTATATCACTTACATTTTAGTACCTCGGCCTATTGCACTGTTTAGTCTCCCTTGAACTGTCTTCAATTGAAAATTTGAGCTGCCATGTGGGAAACATTTTTTTTACAATTTGGTATGATATATTTTATGCCTCCAACAATCTACTCCCTCAACCTATTGCATTTCTTCAATCGAATGAATCGATGAAATTGGGTAGTTACTTAAGAAAAAATATATTTTTAAAATTTGGTCTCCTATAATTTACGCCTCTTACGATTCAATCCCTAAGCCTACTAAATGTGTCTCAATTGAAAAAATTGGATGAAATTGGATTGCCACTTAAGGGAGGACATAAATATATTTTTATAATTTGGTACCTTATGATTTATGCTCCTAACAATTTTCCCCTCACACTATTAAATGTTCTTTCAAATGTTATGAAAATTAAATTAACTCATAACTGAGAATTTCCCGTCTTATATGGAATGGCCTGAAATTTTGACTGTCTTTAAAATTGGCTTAGTCTTATGTAAGAACTAACTAATTTATATTTTTAGCTAAATACTAGAATTTATTTGGTTCTACAATTTAAAACATTACACGTTTTTGCAAGAACCTGTAACACCCTCAACCTGTATCCGACCCGGATCCGAGTCTGAGGTGTCACATTGACTTTTTAAAACATTTACTTGTATAAAATAGTGAGTAATTTAAAACTTTTATAACATATAACTTATTCAAAACGTTTACAGAACTATTCAGAGCTTATACATTATATTCTTTTGAGTACATGCCAACTAGAACTTTATATATTAAATTACATATTATTCACCTCTCTTCTGATCTGACCTTCAGTAAGGAGAACTGACCTATCTTGCTCCACATTGCTCTTTATTTTTCTTCTCATTTCTGTAACCTACGTGTGAAACAATCACACGCTAAGTCTATGACTTAGTGAGGCAATAAACATATAATGTAAACTATAACTTGTAATCATGCATGAACAATTATTGCTATCACATCATACCCAAACATATATCCATTCATATATCAAATCCGCACATGCATATAATTATCTTCTTTCCTATCATTATCATATTATTACCATTCATATTTCTATTCTCTTGTTTATATGATCCAACATGTTCATATCATATATCTTATAACATATACATTGTATTCAATGTTATCTCTTATTAGCCCATGTACACATATCACTAATTCTTTTTATCGTATAAACATTGTCGCAACCATCTTTCGATTGGGTCCCAGAATTGGGCTTCGACTTAGGAAAATATGGATTGGAGTCGCCACCGACCACTTTTAAACGAATTTAGGTGGGTCGGATACCATTTTACCTGATCTGCGTTGTACCAGAAATGCGTCGAGTTCGGGAGTCGGTTACGGTCAAGGAAGGATTAGCACCCTTGAACCGCCCTTTCGGTATCACATAATTTTCAGTTGTCTTAAATTAAGAAAATTATAATTTTAAATAAAAAGGTAAAATTTGATCCTGATTACTTACCTTAGATTGATTTGAAAATATCCTTAAAAAATCGAGAAATGTGTTAGATAAACAAGGTAAAGAAAACAAATAAGATAAAGAGAATAAAATAAAAGCAAAAAAATAAAATAAATAAAATAAATAAATAAGATAAGGAAAAAAATAGTAAAGTAATAATTATATATAGTAATATTTGAAAAAGGAATATATATATATATATATATATATATATATATATATATATATATACACACATCAAAGTATTAATAAAATAAATAAGCTATATATATATACAACAAATATTTAAAAATAGAAAAGCTACCCTCTCACTTCACCGAAAGTGGGGGGCTTTAGTCAGAAATAAGACAAAAAGAGGAAAGTGGGAGAGACTTTAGTTAGAAATAAAACAAAAAAAATGAGCCTCTAAGTTAGTAGTATATAATATAATGTTTAATAATAATAATGATAAAGACACAAGATTTTTAAAAAAATAATATAATAATGAATAAAAAAACAAAAATAATAAATAATATATATATATATATAAAGTTATAAGATATATTACGTAAATAAAGAAATAAGCAAATAAAAATAATTAAGAATATATGTATATTAATAATAGGTATATAAATAAACTATTAAAAGTATAAAAAAATATATAACTAGATAAAGATAATTACAATATATATAGTAATAATAGACTTATGAGTAAAATATTAAAGAAATATATATATATATAATAATAATAAAATATAGTAAAAAAATCAAATGAAAATAATTTAAAATATATATATATACATATAATAATAACATGAATAATAAAAATAAATGAATAAAATATCTATATAATAAATAAAGGGACTAATATAGATTTTTAAAAAGCTCTTCCCATCCTTTAACCGAAAATCAAACCGGTTTTTCAAAATAAGCCTGGGGAAGCGTAGATCTAAGAGAAAAGATCTCGGTTCCCTTGTGTTCATCGACCCTTTCAAAGTAAAAATGGAAAAGAAGAAGTGAAACAAGCCACATGCAAGCGAGAATCGAAGCAATATAGGTAAAAATACCTCTTTTATTTCTCTGTTGAAAATTACAAGCGAATCTTTGGGGCTTATTGCATATTTGCTTTGGGTATTTTTGTGTGTGCGTAATCCCGTATGATAATCGTGTGTTACAAATGGGAAGGATTACATGTATTTATAGTGAAAAAAACTAACTAACAATAGAATCCTAATGCAACTAGACTCTTTGCTCGGTTGTTGCACCTTTGTTGGTGTGGTTGTTGCTTTAAAAGATATGGTGGTGGAAGAGTCCTCTTAGGAGATGAACTCTTTCTAGTTCTATCTTTTAAGAAAATTGGTGTCTACAGCTGCCCCTTTTTATCTTCTTTCGTGGAACGAAAAATAGGACAAAGATAAAAAGACACAAATTTTCGTTCAATGGAGTTGAAGAATAACTCCCTGTCGAATTGAGTTGCGGATGGCTCCTCCGTCGCGAAGTCGAGTCCATCTTGAAATGATTTGAATCAGAATGTGGCTTCTCGTTGTAGTCCACTTTGGTATTCTTCTCGGTTTAAAGATCTTGGCTAAAAATTCGACTGGAAAGTGACTCCACAATGTGGTTGATATGTTCTAGAGCTGAATGAAACGAACTCGAAAAGTTTTCGTTGACAGATAGCTTTTCTCGACTTAAGCTATGCTGACGGAAAAAAGGCTTCTTGCTACTAAGGCATGGCTAACCCAGATCTTCTTTTCGGCTTGAAAACCTCAATTGTAGCCGGATAATACTATAATTGAGGTGTCATCGAGCTGAATGGAATCGAACTCGACAATTTTCGCTGACAGATAGCCCTTCTTGCCTTGAGCTATGCTGTAAATTTGATTTACCTCTGAGCTGAATATAATCGAACTCGAAGGTCTTTGATGATAGATAACCCTTCTTTGAGTTGGATATCCTTCGTCGTGAAGTTGAAATCCAATCTAGAGATGGATGCTGCTTGTGTGCACGATTCCCCTTCGTCGTGAAGTTGAAATCGACACCTCAATAAAAGCTTGGTCAGTGGGAAAATGTCAAAGAAT